AACACATCCGTATTATCAATTCAGTTGTGCATATTGTTATTGTATATGTTTTATAGGACTCATGCTTTGCTTTCACTCGGGAGTTAAGGAATAATAAACTAAAAATAGTCAGATTTTTGTACCAGCGAACAACTAAATCTTGCATCCTGATAATTTAATACCTGGTTTGTAGCTAACACAGCATGTACTTGTACCTGGAGTATTAACGTTTACTAAATTTAACATAGGCTGAGCTTTGCTTTGCAAAGAAAAGACCACCTTTGTGTAGTGGATGTTTTCTTCCTAAAAATGCCCTTTTCTACAAGCTAAAGGAATGGTGCTGGGATATTCTATTTTAAAAAACATTTCTGAAGTATTTTTAGGTAACGCAGACTGTAGTGTTTTTATTCTAAAGGATGCAATTTGGTTAAAATATTCAACAAAAAACAAAATTCCAGTCTAGGAAAGCTTCAAAAAGGGTATTTTGTGTTGGAGAGAAATGTTTTCCAACCTAGTCTGAGTTTGTATGTACACTTGAGATATTTTTGTTGTGGAGTTTTAGTCTCTGGCTGTAATTTGCTGTCTCGGATTAAACAGTCAGTTCAGCAGATGAGAAGCGTACCAAGAGGTGATGAAGCTTCCTTAGCCTCGGGCTTTTTTGAAATTCATGTCATAGGTAGGTGCTTAAAGTCTCTCAAAAGCAGTAGAAAGATAAAAACATTATGTTGAGAGAAGGAGAATTACTGTTTATTTTTAAATAGTCTGGATATTTCTGTCTGTGTCTCGGGTGTTTGTACAATGTTTAGATGTGGTATTATTTTGAGTTCTTTCCTCATCCTTTTCCTTCTTGCAAAGTTTTGTCTGCGGATTTGCATGTCTTACATAGCCTGTACCCTTTTTTTTTTTTGATGAAGACAGAGCAAGCAATTTATTTTGAGGACACAAACAGGATTTTTGTTGTTCTTTTTGCCACTCTTGGCCAACCTGTCTCCTGTTGCCAAATGAGCACGCTGAATAGGTTGTTCCAGTAGAAATCATCGCGTTAACAAGCAAAGAGCAAAGCAGCACTGGTGATGTTGTGTTTTTATCACACACAAAATGTCTTTCAGAGCACTTTTATCACTCCATACCTACCCTGCCTTGCTCAGAGGTGGTGTGTGAGTAGGAAGGGCTGTTATAGGCTTGATCTGGTGTAACCGTAGTGGAGGGGGATACCTCCTCTTTTGGCAGCAGCTTCACACTTGTATTGGATTAAGTGTAATGTGAAACCATACCCGAAATAATTGGTTTTATGCTTCTAGTGGTTTTCCTGGGGACATATGAGGTTATTAAGATGCATACACTCCTTCACAAGGAAACAGTTTTAAGTTGTTGCCCGTGTTTGAAATGTGTATGTTTTTCCTTTGCTGACCCACCCTTGAAACTGGTCATCTTTACAGAAATCTGGAGCAAAGGCTTGTTTAAAAGCTTGGGTTTTGTTTCCTGAGCTCAGTGCCTCATCCTAATGTGTTGTAGCTACAGAATAGCTTGTTCCTTGCTCACGGCTTGCTCTGTACACCCTCAGGCATTGAAGCAGAAGCCCATGGAGCACGTGCCCATCCATGCAAAGAACAGTAGTTGTTGCAGAAACCTAAAGGATGCTGCAGTCACAAAAGGGTGCCTTCATTTATCACAGAATCACAGAATGTCAGGGATTGGAAGGGACCTCGAAAGATCATCCAGTCCAACCCCCCTGCCAGAGCAGGAATCTAAATGAGATCACACAGGAAGGCGTCCAGGCGGGTCTTGAATGTCTCCAGAGAAGGAGACTCCACACCCTCCCTGGGCAGCCTGTCCCAGGGCTCCGTCACCCTCACTGTAAAGAAGTTTCTTCTCAAGTTTAAGCAGAACCTCCTGTGTTCCAGCTCACACCCATTGCCCCTTGTCCTACCATTGGGCATCACTGAGAAGAGCCTGGCTCCATCCTCCTGACATTCACCCTTAACATATTTATAAACATCAATGAGGTCACCCCTCAGTCTCCTTTTCTCCAGGCTAAAGAGCCCCAGCTCCCTCAGCCTTTCCTCATCAGGGAGATGCTCCACTCCCTTCATCATCTTGGTGGCTCTGTGCTGGACTCTCTCCAGCAGTTCCCTGTCCTTCCTGAACTGTGGGGCCCAGAACTGGACACAATATTCCAGATGTGGCCTCACCAGGGCAGAGTAGAGGGGGAGGAGAACCTCTCTTTGACCTACTAAGGGAGACTCCACAACCTCCCTGGGCAGCCTGTTCCAGTGCTCCGTCACCCTCACTGTAAAGAAGTTCCTTCTGAAATTTAAGCGGAAAAGTAGCATTTACTAGCATTTGTAAATCAAACTGGTGGTGTTTACACCCTGTAACTGCTCAGACTTTCAATAAAAAATTGATATTTCATAAGGAGCAGGCATGTTCTTGTGACACTAGTGAGTTCAAAGCAAGCAGGAGGAAGTCCAGCAAACATCAACAGAGGTGTGAGAGGAGAAGCACCTCAGACACATCTGACCATACAGCAACAAGTCTCTACGGCCTCCCCAGGAAGCGGCAGAAGTTGATGGTGGTAGGCTGAAGCTGGGTGGAGGGAAAGGTCTGGCATTTTCACTGTCCTCGCTAGAATGAAGGGTCCCTGTAGGAGAGTGGTGGGCAGTGAAGAGCCAGTGATGCTGCCAGGCCAGGCCATGCAAAACGAGTGGGGAATTGTTGGTACTGGAGAAGGACAGCTGGTGGACAGTGCATTTTCAAGCCAGACCTAACCAAAAGTACTTTTAATTCACTAATTCATTTCCTGTCTGTGCCAAACTTACAAATCAGTCCCTAATTCTCTTTCAAAGCTCTAGGAACCGATAATAGGGATGCTGCAAACAGCCCTGGCTGATCCTTCCTGCAAAGGGTTAATTTTGACCCATGAAACAGGCTGAACCTTTACTTTTTGGGGTGGTGGTGATTGTGGAGCCCTCCTCCCTGCTCATCTTTGATCACATGAACTTTGAGCAGGTAGATTCAGAGATGCAGTGAGTGCATAGGGTTTGTCTTTAACGGCTAAGCTGAGTAAGCACATTGATGGGGAAGGATCCCCGTGCAGATGAGAGCAGCAGGCAGGGTTGCTTGCTAACCCTTATAGTCTGTTTTTTTTGGCGAGAGCGTACGTTTTGTGCAGAGCAGAAGCCAACACACAGCATTTTTCTCTGGCCACATGTGTGGTTTTGCTGATAGAAATGTAGTTGGTTGAAATTAAAATCTCATTCATGCTGTGCAAGAGTCCTCCATCTGCTTGAAGGAACAGAGCTTTGCAAGGCAATCTGAGTTATTTTGGGGGATATACAGGCACATCTATACAAGACCTTCATTCTGGAAAGATAATTGTTCCTAGATGTGAGGAAATATATGTGTTCAATCGTCTTTTAGTTCCAGTTCAGAAATTATAAGCACCATGATAAAAAAACCCATAATTATAAACATGACACTATATTTGCCATTAAGGAGATGAAAATAAGCAGTAAGAATGGCTGGTGGTTTTTGTTGTTTGGGAGGGTGGGAGTTGGGATAGGGAGAAAATCGCTGTTGCTACTTTTGTTCTATGTCATTAGGGGTGGTGTGTATACAAACACTGCTGGGATTTTCACTTTTTTCTTTCCTATTTTAGCCACAAAATTGTAGAAGTTTGAAATACAGTAACAAACCTCTTCTTACCCATCTATTTAATATCCATGAAAAAGGAGCAGTGTGCCAATTAGGTGTTTCATCTACACTGAATGATAACTGTGCTTTCCTTAAGTCGTAACAGTCAAGCCTGCCATGGAGTGACGAGACCTGGTTTTTCCTTCAGTGTTGTTTGGTCTGTGTTTCAGTTTGATATTATGGAAATACTTTGCTATTAGGGAAGAAAATGACATAAAATTGCATCCTTTCTCAATGAGGTTTTAAGTTCTTTCAGTAGCTTCTCTCCTTTTTAAAGCTGTAATAAAGATCATAATTAGAATCCCAGTTGCTTAAGTAAAGAAATTAGCATGTTCTTAAATGCTGAGCTGAGTCAGGTTCCCAGCCAGACCCCCTCCGGGTATCTGTCCTGCCCCAAAGCGCTTTCCCTAATACCAATTTGTGTTCTAGTCCATATCATATTCATATTCATTGCCACCTAGCAGTTAATCAGAGCCTTTGGATAGGTTTGAAATAATTTGTAGCCTGATTGCCAAAACCACCTGCATCCATTCATCTCCTACAGCCACACCTGGGCGTGCACTCGGACTTAGCAGAGAGCGTCAGTCCAGTACCAGAACTGAGGCAGATTCACTCCATGCATGTCCTTCAAATTCTTTAAAGGACATTTCTTACAAATTTGTCACAAATACTACTTAACCCCACCCTGGATATCCTTGCTTACTATCTTCTAGGCTGTGGCCAAGGGAACAAAAATCTGGTGGCTTTTACCTGGTATTTTTCCTGCCAAAAATATATTTCCCTAAAGGTTTTGACTTGTTTTTGTAGAACTGGGCATTAACATAGATACCTTATCTATTAATATATCATTTTACCATGTAAATAAGATTCTAGCAGATTGGAATAAATTAAAATGGGGCTAAAATAAATATCATTTGTAAATTAATTAAAAACAAGAAGCAAAGAACACTAACACTTAAAAAGAAAAAAGACTTTTTCATGGTGCAAACTACAGATTTAATTTCCAAATAAATGAATGGTAAACTATAATTCTATGATGTGCAAGAAAATATTCCGAACATATGAAATAGCAGTCACAGATTTTTAGTCAAGATGTTCCCTTTCTGGTTTTCCAAACTGTCACAGAATGTACCAAAGGGTAAAGCAAATAAAATCCTGTATTCGCAATTGCCCCAGGTAGGGGTACGATATTGGTGGGAGATGGATCCAGATCTCTGTCTTTGTCTCCTCTTTTTTTTTTCTTAACAGTGAATTTTTATGTCATGACATCTCATCTCTCCTGCAAGTTCTACCTAACGTGCTTCTGATGTGCTCTTGTTTCCACAGGCCAAGGCTGCAAGCACAAAGGAAGTTTGCTCAGTCCCAGCCAAACAGTCCCAGCACAACTCCTATAAAGATAGTGGAGCCGTTGTTACCCCCTCCCGCCACTCAGATTTCTGACCTCTCCAAAAGGAAGCCCAAGACAGAAGATTTCCTCACTTTCCTCTGTCTTCGAGGTAGGAATCTCGCAGCAGCCTGGGGGGACAGTCTCATTCAGAGAACGAGCCATAGCACTGCACATGGAGTAGCAGCCAGATTAATGTCCTGGTGCTACACCTGAATATACTGCGGGCGCTTAAACTCTCAGCAATTTGCCTGTATCTGCAGCAGGAGCATTTGAGTTCATGGTTGTAAAGACCATAAAATAAGACTGGTAATAGTGGAAAGGGAAATTTCTTTTATGCTTAGCACTCTGTTATCTTGAATGGGTTTTTGTTTAGCTCTCTCAAGTCCTCCCCATCCTCCCTTAGTGTTGTCTGACTATAAACTGAAGAAGTGCTCAACTTGCCTGAGTACTTGTTCCTGCAAGAGGAGAAATCTGGTTGGAAATTCCCCTTCTCTACCTACTCACGGTCCTTTATTGTTCAATCTGAGTGAGGCTTTTCATCTGCCGGGAGGTGGAGGGGTTACCGTTGTTCTTAGCTGCCCCAGGAGCTGGATTGTTCCCATGGTGATAATTAAAACAGGTGAGCTCCTCCACTCTGCATCCCACGTGCAGACTGAAGTTGTACAGTGAGATACCTGAGTTGTCTCACAGCAGCAGGTACCTGAGCCTGGCTGGAGCTGTATGGTGTGTGACTGGGATCACTGGTGTGTGCCTGCAAGCCTGCACATCAGACCTGGGGAACCTTAACGTGAGGTACAGCTGGCTGCCCAGATTAGGCTAAAGAAGGAGACTTTCTTTAACAGGAGTGGTCATTTTTCTTGGGACTTTCCATGGCCCTGTGTCCCAAATCATGTACTGAAGATAGCATCTTTCAGTTTAATCTCCCAGTTGTGGTGTTGGCTCTCGTGGTACGTTTCTCTTTTGGCAGTTGACCCCCCTGTACTGGTGCGGCCTCACCTCCAGCACTGGGGGCAGTTTTGGGCGGCACAGGATAAAAAGGGATCTAAAGCTCCTGGAGAGTGTCCAGAGGAGGCCACTAAATTGGTGAAGGGCTTAGAGGAGAAGCTGTACGAGGAGAGGCTTGGTTTGTTCAGCCTGGAGAAGAGGAGACTGAGAGGAGATCTCATCACAGTCTAGAACTTCCTCCCAAGGGGAAGAGGAGGGGCAGGCGCTGATCTCTTCTCTCTGGTCACCAACAATAGGACCAAGGGAAATGGCAAGAAGATGTGCAAGGGGAGGTTGAGGTTGGCCATGAGGAAAAGGATCTTCAGGCAGAGGGTGGTGGAGCACTGGAACAGGCTCCCCGGGGAGGTGCTCATGGCACCAAGCCTGACAAGATTCCAGCAGCATTTGGCCAACATGTGCCCTCAGGGACATGGTCTGAATGTTGGGCTTGTCCTGTGCAGGGACAGGAGTTGGACTCCATGATCCTTGTGGGTTCCTTCCAGCTCATAACATTCTATGATTCTATGATTCTTTCAGTTTAATCTCCCAATTTTTGTGTTAGCTCTCGTGGTATGTTTCTCTTTCGACAGTTGACCCACCTGTCCCCTTACCTAGTCACTCCTCCATCCTTGATGTGCTGGAACGATACCTCTTGCTGTTGTTTTGTCCCGCTACTTGCTGCATTTTTTACAGATAGGGCTCATCTGCAAAAGTTTTACCTAATGGATTGAGTCCTTCAAAGCTCGTTTTTGAGTTCTCCTTTCCAATTCTGAGGTCTCTGTTTCATCTGCAAGCAGGACTGGTCAACACCACCCAGAGC